CTCTTGGATACAATATGGAAACTCATATAATAGACGTGCAGCTTTGGAGACAGGTGTTGGTCTTGTATTGACTCATGGATATGCATGTAAACACTTTAGCCCATATGTGTCATGTAGAGGCCCCAGCTCCAGTGAGGGCGCGCCTTAAAACACACACACAGTCATATGTCACAAGTTTTGCTTGTCAGTAGCTTGAGGTGTAGTTTCCCAGAAACCCCTGCATCTATCTCCTTGGAACTTGGCAGGCTTCATGCCACTGGAAGGGGCTACCATCTCTGCTATTTTCATCCAAATCTGCCAAAAAATGACAAAGTTATAGGCAGTTTTGTGCTTCCCCATTATAGCATATGGGCAAAACGTCAAAACAGTGAAACAGTTTTAGTGAAACAAAACAGAACAATGCTTTCAAAACAAAACAAAATTCGAAACAAAACACCATCCCGTCAAAATGGCAAAACAGAAGTCAAAAGAAAACGGTGCTGCTTTGAACAGCTCTAGTAAACATTATAAACTCAACTTACCATTTATGTATTTTTTTGGTGTGGTATTTGTGGCAGAAGGCAACCTTTGTTTCTCCCCAAAAACTCTGCTCTGTGACAATTTGATTAGGATGGGCCCAGCAGAGGAAACACACTTTTACTCTATCTCTTTAGGTAACCTGAGCTGGATACATTCCTGAGGGAGGGGGGAAACCTGTTCCCTCTGCCTACGTGACTAGTATCACATACCTGGGTGAGGGGCTTCCTCCCTGGTGGGCTAGAGACTGCCAGTCTGCCCAGCAACTAGTGATGTATTTCAAATTGGTTGGCTGAAAGCCAACAGGTGCTGGCCTCCACTGGACCAGGTAAATGAGGTCACAAGGGCTATATAAGTCAAGGACTGCCCAGGAGGAGGGGGCAGCAGCCATGAGGGAGACTCAGAGAGAGAGAAGACCTGTACCATCTGAAACTTGCTCTCTCTCTCAAAACTCATGATCAAGGCACTGCCTGCCTCCAGAGGGAATCTCCAACTGCCCCTGGATTATACTTGTGAGTAAGCTACCTGAGATCTAACTGGATATTTAGCTTGCAGTAACTAAGATGTGTGATCAAAGGCTACCCAGACAGGGGAGTTTGCTTTATGAGATTTCTCTGATATTGCTCTACCCTGTACCCTATTCCAACCCTACCCTCTGTAACCAATAAAGTTTTCCTTTGTACCTAGTGTGGGAGACTTATTGGGAGTGGGTCTAGGTTATGCCTTGGGGTCCCCTTGGTTCGGCAGACTAAGGGAGACCACTACTTGTGCTTCTGACTGAGAGAAGCATCCCAACTTCTTGAAGTGAATCAAGTACCCTTGAGGGCTACTAGGCCTGTGTTTCCCAGTGTGCGCAGAGCCAGAATCAGTCCAGAGCCCTGGGTGGTGGCAGTGGAACCCCCAGGCTAGTGGGTGTGCTCCAGGAAGGGGGTCGCCCAGATGTGAGGCGCCCCCAGGGAGGCACTCGGAGCCTGGAAGTTGGTCGGGCGCAGTGAGGTGGGTGGCTCAACTCAAGAGCGCCCCCTACTGCCACAGTATTAATCTGATACATGTTATCTAGTTCAATTCAATTCAATTACCAAGTCAGTCCTCAAAGTTTTATATGATTCTCAAACACCAGAAGTGCATGAAAAATAGCTACATATATTTTTGCAAAGAGACTTAGGATTCTGAATTAGAATTCAATAAACTATACAAATCACTGCTAAATAATTAAGCATATGTTTAATGTATAATGAAACACATTGTTTACATCTAAAATGACGTTGGACAAATTATTACAAAATGTAGGAAAATACATTCTATTTGTAATTCTAATTAAATATAATGCAGCAATTGTAGGGTAACAAATATAAAACAAAATAAACATGCACATGTAGGGATATAGTCTTCTCAGTTACACGGTTGTAAAATCTGATAAATTCTTTGGTGCTCAACTGCATGGATATATTTATGAACTGGATTATTTGACATGTTGCCTGTAATATGGGATAGAACTGTATCCAAGAGGTTCTTATGAATTTACATTAGTGTAACTTGGTCTGGTCAACATATTATAATTACATGTTAAATCTGTGGTATGATGTACCTTGCCTCATTCCTTTAACTATTCTATTTTCTTATTCAAATTGTTAGATGACAGGCTTCAGTGTCCTATTTGTAGTTACCTTCCATATAAAGCAAAGCATTTGTACTCATTTATGGACAAACTGCTGATGGTTCATTGGCATCTGGTTAGTCACATGCAGCCTGAGCCAAAAGCCACTGAAGTAAATGGAAACTTTCTCATTGACTACTGTGGGTACTGGCTCAGCCCCACATAATGGTTCCTCTTCAAAATGCATCAAAACACAGCTAAAATATATTAAATGGGCTTCATATAAAGACTGCTTTATAAAGAATTGCTGTAGTGGACCATTTGTTATATGACTGAGCAGGAAGAGAAGAGGTCTAAGAAACATTCTAGTAACAGTATGTGGCGTGAATGATAAAAAAAATATTTAAAGTTTTCTAGAACAGTTTTCTCCTGGGAATATGCCCCAACATGTTGTGCTTTGTTCTGAGTTCTCATAAATAAAAAGTCATGACGTTCTCTACTCACATTCTGAGCAAATAATAATATTGGGAGCGATTACTCCATAATAATTTTAAAGAAAAAATATTACTCCATAATAATAAAAGAAAATAGTATCCATAATAATAAAAGACAATAGTATCCAAACCAATACTGGACATAAAAGAGGTGATGCTGGTCCCTATACTGTTTTTCACTTTCACCTAGTTCAACCTGTGGTCCGCAGACCCCTGGGGTTCCACAGACTATGTCTACGGGGTCCGCAAAAGATGGCTATGATCAATCAAAAGTATGTGAATACTCACAATTCAAAGGGGTCTGCGCCTGTATTAGAAATTTTCAAAGGGGTGTGCACCTCTTTTCGATTTTTTTAGGGGCCCACAAATGAAAAAAGGTTGAAAACCACTGGCCTAGTTTCTTTTCAGGTCAATATTGTTGAATGTAATGGGGCCACACATTC